AGGTGATCTACCTCGTTTTACATTATATAAATTACATGAACTTACCCCTAAGGTGACTTTTAAAATATCGCCATTGCAAGAAATAGATTAGGATAAGTCTTAAATCCATTACAGTTCGTGGTCCGATTGACCAATTAACATTTTTCAATGAATTACTATTTATGAAAGGTATTGGTTGAGATAAAAAAGTCAGCGTAACGAGCGGGATTCGAACCCACGACCTTCAGCTAAATACGCCGCTACTCTACCACTTGAGCTATCGTGACTTCGATCCACTCGCACACTAACTTCCCATCTCAACCTCACCTTTCGAATTTCCTTCCTTTTTGCCATTTTCATTTCAAATGTGTAATCTATTCGATTCTCGGCGACATCTCTTGAAAATTGACTCTAACTTCTCATCTCGACCCCACCGTTCGATGGCTAAAAGGAGGGAAAATTCGAGAGGTGAGGTTGAGATGGGAAGTTAGTGTCCGAGCGGATCGAAGTCACGACAGCTTAAGTGGTAGAGTAGCGTGGGTTCGAATCCCGCTCGTGACGCTGACTTTTTTATCTCAACCAATACCTTTCATAAATAGTAATAAGTCTTAAATTTTTTTAAATAAAATTCTCCGCAACAAAATTGGTTGATTTACAAAACGTTAAACCAACCCTACACTTATTCTTTCCAATGATTATTGCTATTATAATCTTTATTTACTCCCCGTTGTTTTAAAAATTTTCTTTTTGGTTACTACAGGCGCAAAATAATCATGCCATCCTTTTATTTTATTAAGAATTCTTTATAGGAAGAGATTTCGGGGCAGAATGCTTTTGATCTACAGCCGCGTTTTCTTATTGAATACCATGTAATTATTGTGATGGAAGGATTTCAGCATGAACTCCTAGATTAGAAATCTATTAAATGTATGTATCAATATAGTGAATATATGTTGTACAGCCTATATTTTATTAAATTATTTTAATACCTTCCATACCTCTTTTTGATCTTTGACTCTAGTCGAAATTAATGAAACGTCTCGTCTAATCCAGTAAATTAGTCATTTTTGATACTTAATTATATAAATAATTATGTCATTTAAAAACGAGATGTTCAAGTTTCAAATTTGGAATTTAGCACACACTCGAGTTAAAAACATCAGGTATCACAAAACAATATTTCCCCTCCAAATGAGCGGATTTTCATATGACACCGTATAAATTGCAACGTTACCGAAGTGCTTTCGATCTGTGATAGTTTGTAAGTTTCTTCCGTTGTGCAACAAAGTTTTTTTTTTATATTCAAGATGATGGATTTACATAACAAAGCTATAAAGGGTTAACGATGCAAGTCGTCATTAAGGATCGGATTGGTACATCTTAATTTTAATTAAAAAAATAAACTTTCGCCTTAATTAAACTTGCTCAATAAACTATTGACAATATTTTCTTTTTTATGCTTTGAATAATATTTAACTACATTTGTTTAAAATAACAGTTTTAATTTTTAACCTACGAACACTCATCTTAATTATTAAACCAAAGTTTAATAATTAAGATGAGTGTTCGTAGGTTAAAAATTAAAACTGTTATTTTAAACAAATGTAGTTAAATATTATTTATTTATTTGTATATTATTATATATAGTATATTATTTATTTGTAAATATTAATTGTAATAAATATATTATAAATATATTATAAATATATTAATTGTAATAAATATATTATAGTATATTATTTATTTGTAAATAATAATTAAAATCAGTGATCCTAAATCCATTTCCCCACATTTTTACAAAAAGATCTTATTAATCAAAAGAAGCGTTTTTGACCCAGGCTATATTCGTTCCCACTTTAATTACTAAGATCACAAAGTCGACGAGTTTGGTATCATCCTTAATGTATAGGCTTAGTAGATCATTAAATGTTTCATGTTTATGTATATACGAAAAAAAACAAGCCAATTTACCTGAAATTACCAATATGTAATATGTACAACGCATACAGTAGGACGAATGTTCAAACAATTTGAAAGTTGATAGGTTTGAAAAAGGATTAATTTAAAATGTAAATTTCTTTTAATTAATTCTTATCTCCAATCGTGACATTAATCTGTAAGTGTTTTTTCATACACTCTTTGATATTTGTTCTATTTGGAAAAAAAACCCAGGTTGTTAATAATAACGAAACAATTTTCCTTTAGTTAGACGCTAAAAATAAACGTATAACATAATTTTAATGCAAAATACATATTGTTGTAACCTGTTTGTCATAAGTCGATTTCAACCTGACACATTATTCAGAAGCATCATGGCGATATGATCAGTGTAAACATTGTCCAATTTCCCATTATAAAAATTCCTTTCGACCTGATATTCAAATATTTACCGTTCATAATTTAACCAATATATAAACAGGAGATAAAACGGATTACCCGGCCTTACGTACTTTGTTGTTAATTTATGGGTTTAAAATCATAAAGATCTATTACTCAATCCGAATTCATTATCATTATTATGTGTAGCTCATTCCAACCTTAATGTCACGCTGGACAATTATTTTTAAAATCTAATTAATACAATATTCATAAGGCCGTTTTCTAAACCTATAAGTCATTTTTTTGATAAAAAAGTGCCTATGTAATTGAAGTAATATACTGTCTTAAAATATAATTTTGGCTTCTCAATTTTTTTTAATATGTACAATTTTATTTAATATGGGAGAGGACATTAATTATAGAAGAATTACATATTATAATTTAAAATAAAAATTTACATTTGTAAAGGTTTTTATGCAAAACAATACAAGATTCATTTCTTTTGACAGGGCTTTCACTCAAAGATAATTATTTTGTGGAAAAGAAAACAATAGAATTAATCGAGTGAACCAATCCATTTAATTAGTTCTATACTTTTTACAATCACCCATTTTTATTGCTAATATTAAGTTTCTCATTTAAATTGTGTTCGTTTAATGATTAACTAGGTATACTGAAAAAGTAGTATCTATTAAAAGTTTTATTTTTTAGGTGATGAATGAATGAAAAAAGTTTGTAGGTCCGTCTCAATGGTTCAAGGTAGAACTAGGTGCATTTAAAATATCAGTTTGATTTCAAGAATTGCTTGTTCAACTTTTGCACCAAGCGTATCAATATATTGACGAACATCATACTGTTTTTAAACATATTTTATGATAAAATAGATTTAAAAACCCAAGACAATGTACTAGATTTTTAAAACAGTAATAATAATGGTTCAAGGGACCGCGGTCGACGAGAGGTAGGTCGTCCTATTCGTATTGCCACGCTTGAGGTGATGGGTCCGAATTCCGGCATAGCCCGAGGAACGATTAATTGTGATTAATAGTAGAATAATTATGATGAGGTTCTTTTACGACCGCACCTGGCATATGACTTTCTCAGTCGTTTGTTTATAACACGGTGGGAGGTGCCACACGTCTGCTTACAAAAGAATGGTGCTTTGCTCGTAAGTTCAAGTGCAGAAAAACGTCGCAATCCATATGGACAGAAGAGATTTTTCTCCACTTGCCCCTTTCAAAATTTCTTACCGAGAAACTCAAAGGTACTGAAACAAACACTCCCTGGGCCGATGGGCCTCCTAGGTTAGGGATTTCCAAACAACGGGTCGCTACCGGATTTCGATTAGAGGGGAATCCTAAACACCCCGAGGGATCCCAGCTATACGGCAAAGATTGAGACAAGGATTTGGAACTTTTGGTCACCGTTTTCCCTTAAAAAAACTGGATCCCTCCCTTGAGGTTAATAGTGAGCTCGTGAATATTTCAGATTGCGCCCCAGGCCCCGGGTCACTCCTATTTACCCTTAGTTTCATCACCGCCATTATATATCCTGGGAAGAGGCTACAAGCCGTTTCTGGCATTAAGTCCTCCATTTTTGGAAAACGGGTGGTTACGGTGTGGTTTATAAGTTTACCCTTTCGGGCTGCGTGCTCTACCTATCCACTCCAGTCTGCATTTTCAACTTTTCACAGGATAAACAGGAGCGTTGCTTCCTTTAGTTCGTACCGCCGAAACGCATCTGATAGCGAGCTTTAGGAGATTAAAATGATCAGAATCTACGAAATTACAGGTTCATTGTCCAGCAATCCTTCAAGAAGAAATTTCACCTTTACTTTTGCATTGTTTTCTACCATGGGTTTTATGTAAATAACAGACACATGGACCGGAATCTTCATTAAACATACGTAACAAACTAACCGCTTAGAAAATACTCATCAGATCAGAGTCGAGTTGTGGGGCTCGGCTAAATCCTCCAATATCCAATGCATCCAATCCTTTTAATTCAATGTGCCATCCTCAACGTTACCTACTACCTCATCAAGCTCAAGATTCACCTAGACACCTTATTTGTGGAGGATCTGATCCATCCATCCTCAATTTCTTCTCTAAGCTATTCTTCTTAAGATCCACTCCTACCCACTAGCAAGTTATTTCAACGAGTTCTACGACGATGGCTTATATATCACCTACCGTGTCCCTATCTTAGTCAAGATCCCCCTAGATCCTTATTCCAATAAAATTACCGATAGTTTCAACACTGGCTGTTATCTCTATAATGTCTCGTGGTCTTAAATATCAGTCAGATTTGTATATATATGTATGCACATGTTCCAATAGTTCAATGTATATTTTTGAACAGATACCAAATAAATGCAGTGTTTGCTGATATCATATTTGTATGATATGTATAGTTAGATTTGTTATAAAAAGCATAATAAATCTTGTATTTTGTAAAATATAATTATAATCTCTTTTGTTAAGCATTTTTATCTTATTTTTGCTTTTGATATTATCAAGATTGTTACCTTTTGTATTCACTCTATTTCAAAAGATTGTGCAAATACAGACCCTCGTATACACTGAAATATCAAACGGGTCTAGATTGACGTGTGGTGAATATTGAATCGCTTGTAAACTCTTGTGCAACTGAATCTGCCCTGTTTAAAATAGCATGACTGATTTCGTTCTTCTGTGTTCCAGGTGGTCACGATAAACGGAGCCAAAATCAACATGGACAAGTCCGACATCGAGGTGCCCCAGGGTATCGCCCACACGGTTGACCGGGTCATGTTCCCTCTTCCCGTCGGGGACGTCGTCCAGACGCTCCAGGCAGACAGAGAAGGCAGATTCTCGAAATTCATCAGGCTCTTGCAAGAGACCGGCGTAGCGGCGACTTTGCAAGGCAAGCATTCCACTAACATAAGTCCATTCAACTGATAATCTAGGAATAGTGGACCTTGGTTCGTAAGTCGTCGTGATGTAAAATCGAGACCTAACGTTCTTGCCTTGGATAAATCCGTTCACTCTTGTCCAGTAATTTGCTTTTTATCATCAATAGCTGGAAAATGTAAAACAAGTCCCGATCTGGATAATATTTGGAATAAATTATTGTTTCTAATAATAGTACAGACCGTAGATAAGAATCCATACTTTAATGCGATTTTTTCCTTTTAATTACCTGATTCAGCATATTGAAATTACTCGTGAGAAGAAAATAAAAGGAAACACTTATGATTCCTAGTAGACCACGATGATATCTCAGTTTTCATTAACCGTTCACTGTATATTATACATGTAGTTCATAATAAAAATAAAATAATAAACAATTTTATTTACACTTTATAACACATAATCATTTAACAGTATAACATATCAATCCTATTAACAGTATAATCATTTCAGACCGACTAGAATCAGCTAAAAAAGGTTATGTGGCTGTTCTTCCTTTAGATCGAAGGCTTTACACTTTTGTTATTCTTTTGCCAGCCTGTTTTTTTTAAATAATAATTAAATATCTTAGTCACTTACTTAAAAATTTGTAGTTTGGTCGTTTCCGATCTCTTCTTGCCTTTCTATATTTGCTATTTTCGCTGGCATACTAGTTTCGGCCATTTTGTCAGTTCGGTGTGTTTATGAAATGTACGGTAACAGAAACGTTTTACAACCTGAATAAAACACATTCGATAGACTGACTGTAGTCGAGGTTAGGTGGTTAAAAGTTATTTGATAAAAACAGTCAGTCTCCTAACGACTTAAATCCGCTACCAGTATTGGTGTAATGTTTAATCTCCATTATTATCTTGAGCTCTTGGTTAAAGCTTAAGGCTTTTTACCTAGAGCTATTTAAGGGGCATAAAGGAATTTCATTGGGGTAGTGGATTGACCATTTTGGATGGGAAAGATATTAGAATATTTGGTTGAACACAACACTTCCATTCCGTAAGTTCATATCGGCTTTACTAAGTTTTTATAAAGCAGCCAAATATTTGTGAGGGGTTAGTTAGATCGTTTGTCAAGAGGCCAAGAAAGTGCTTTATATCGTTTTATAGCTTCTTGATGTTTTAGCCGTGTGTGAGGATTGCTAGAAGTTTGTCTATGTGCCGCACCTTGGTCGCAGTTGTGATGGAGGTGATGTTGACATAAACGTAGGCTTCTTAGAGAGAATAATGTGGGTGGATTTTTTTTCTCATCAAGACTCCAGTGGTATGAGGTGTGGCTGAAGGGTTCGAGTAGAAACGACAAGGTCAGAGTTGCTTAAGAGGATCGCTGTATCGTCTGCAAATGTCAGGATGATAGTTTGGGCATGTGATAAGATGTCAGTTGTGTACACCTGCTAAACTGAGGTAGCCAGGACGCTACTATGAGGAACTCGAAAGATAACGTAGTTTAGGGAAGATGCCGACGATATGAAAAATTGGGTAGCTGGGAAAGGAAAGATATATATGAGTAAAAACAATCCGGTCGAAAACCTGGGCAGCATAAAGTACGATTCCCAGAAAATTCCTCTTCAACTCAAGGTAGTTAAACGGTGCCTCTCCGAAAACCAAACCGGCTGTCTGATTAGAACTAAAACCCTAGCTGTAGTATTTATGATATATTCTATCCGATATGTCCAACCATCGTCTGCTACACATGTACTTTAGCAATGTTTGACCTGCATTTGAGACTGCGAAGGTAGGAAGGTATAGCTTCGTCCTGATCATCATCATGTACAGTTGTTGATAGACATACGACAGACTGGACTGTCGACGAAGCAAGGGACTTTACGCCCTTCGCACCGCGACTAGTCTATTATGCAATTTCCATTATTATCTAGAGCTTTTCGTTAGGCTTAAGGCTTTTTACCGAGATCTATTAATTGCTACTTTCTGTATCCTTCCAGCCTCGCCTTTTCCCCTCATAGGAGTAAGAATGTCAGGCCGCATAAGCTTTCGCACTAGCAGAGGACATTTCACTGTTTTTCTTCCTCCTGGCAATATTCGAGGACATGTTTCTGCTGCTCCGAGTCTATGCCTCCGAAGTTTTTAGGGTAGTCAGCAAACCGATCATTCTAGTCATAACACGTTCTTGGTTTAATAGTTCTACCGCTTGTTTCTGCGATGATCCTTTAATGAACTTTTTCGCAACGGGGAAAACGTTAGGATGTCGGTTCACCTGTCCTTTACATACGGTTTTACGAGATTACTCTTTTGATAAATATAATATAAATTTATTAAACGTAACAACCATTCCGGTATTCATCCTTGAACTTAATTCGTGTGACGAGGTTTAACAAAGATCGAAGTATTTTTCGCATCGGTTGCAATTGAAAGACCAAATAACAGGATTCGGCATAAAGGGTTGACAATTAATTAGCAAGGAGGAAAGGAGGTTTTCCGTTAGTCATGTCGACGAAACGTCAATCCGCTCGTGCCAGAACAAATCCCATTGTGCCGGCAATTTTCCTCTTCGTTACCAAGCTGGAATAGGATCCGGATTAGATAATCCAATTTAAATCGGGCCCTGTACTGCACGGAGGCCCTCGGCCTGTCCCCGGCGCCTGGGACGGGGCCCAGGTCCCGTCCTCACCGGTGAAAGCGTGTCCTCTTATCCGACAAGAGATCGAAGAAAGTTACGATAACGAGACCCCCGCAGATGCCGGCCGAGTGCCAGATCGGGAAGAAAAGCCGGGACGTCCCATAGGCATCATTCGTTAGACGGCAAATTGCTCGACCGACTGTGAATTCGATTACGACACCTCGTAAACGGTAATTTTCGTCTCGTTAACTCCCAAGCGTGCTACATCTTTCAGACTGTTCGTGATCCGTTCAAGAACCAATTAGCCTAAAAAACAGATATAAGTTCTCAACAAAATTAGCAACATTATAACGATGCTAGAAAATATTTATCGGAATGAATCTTTGACTCCATATAATTTATTCAATATAACGAGTGTTCTATTTTCCTATAGTAAACTCTATGGCTAGGAATGTGTGGTGTTTAGTGACCGTTAGTCAATGATTAATCGGAAATTGAGAGGTGCGGTCTAGTGTTACGTAGGTTTTAGAAAAAACATTTTCTTTATCGTGCCAACGTTTCGATCTTTAGTGAGATCATCTTCAGTGCTCCAAGTGTTTGTTGGCCCCTCACCGTCAATATCCAACGTATATATACATAAAACAGCAATATCTCACTGGCACTCAACACGACTCACAAGAATGGCACATCTACACGGAAAACAAACACTTTGAGCCCTGAAGATGATCTCAATAAAGATCGAAACGTTGGCACGGTAAAGAAAATGTTTTTCTAAAACCTACGCCACACCAGACCGCATCTCACGATCTCCGAATAATCTATGTCTAGGGATGATGAAGATGATGAAAAGATGGGAGGAGGGTTTTTTCTACTCCCTAAGCAATGAAGCCTTCGGGCATATTGTACTTATTGGGTATTCTTTCATTAAGTAATTTGTATCAAGAAATACCAGATCGTTATCTAATTGGGTGGTTATTATCTATAAAAGGTGGTAAAGTGAGATTAAACGCTGCCTGAAGGTCTTTGCATGAATAGGTTCAGATGCTGTGAGTGCATGTTTATACTTAATTGAAAATAGGTTGGATAATAACAAACATAAGTGGGTGTAAGGGGTGCTCAAGTTTGAAGAGTCCAAGCAAAGTCCAAAGCCTTCTACGTATCAACGAAAACGCCTAGTCAAGCTTTTTGGTTTTCATGAGTAGCCATTTATCACCCTGTGGATCTGTTGAGGACAGGTAGTGAGAGCGAAAGGCAAATTGAGTTAATCGTGACTGAGTGAGTCATCAGTCTTGGCAGTCCTTCGAACCCTTTAGAGCTGAATCATAACATCATCCTAACTCATCATTAGTGATTAAGTAAAAAATATTGGAACAATAACAATAGAAGGAATATTATTTTATTTGGGATTACAATGTTCATGAATGGCCTAAAAATATTCATAATCAACGAACTCATCAGTTAATTCAATCATTTACAGCATTTCACCCGTTGGTTTTCTTTACGATAATAATCATAATCCTCTTTACTTAACTTACAACGCACACTTTCATCGAACATTAGGTAACATAAAGGTTGAGAGTGAATTGAATGGTAAAGTAAGATTAAATGCAAAACCTCAACTGCATAAACTCCTATACAATCGGAACATAACACTCGCTGACCTTTATTTGCAAAGGGTATAATCATCTTAATTTATCCTATGGTTTTTGCAGGAGGAAAGACGTACACGGTGTTCGCACCGACCGATGCAGCTTTCACGGATGGTGAGCTGGACAAACTGCTCGAACAGCGAGGCGCGGCTCGTGCACTCGCGTTGAGGCACGTGACACCCGGAACACTTTACTCAGCAGGCATGCTTTATTATCAGCTCAGAGACTCGATGAACAACTCGAACCAGATCCAGCTTTCAAAGGACGCAGGTAATTTTCACCAGGAAAGCCTTTTCAAGACAGAAAGAGAGAAATTTTCTTCAATGGTTCGAACTAGTTCCTAACTGTCGTTTTAAAAGTCAAATAAAACAAATTTATATCTTGGTCGTTTCCCGTAATTTTGGCCAAGATAACAGTACTAGCCTGTGACATTTATTTTTATCAGTGAAGTAAGGAGGATGAGGCAAGTCAACAAACCATATTTAATATGGTGAAATCAAGAAATTTTAGCGGACCAAAATGATCTGAAATGAGCTAACAGGTTTGTAACTCCACAGACCTAAAGAGGAAATCTCAAATTTATGCGAGGCGATTTTATCCGCATTCTCAAATTTCCATTTTGCACGCACTCTCAATTTATTTACAAATCGTATTTATAAAAAATACTGTTGTCCAAAACTCGCCTTTGCCCTCCCTATTTCTCAACTTAACGGAAAAACATTGAATCATGGACATGTTACCTAACAGTCCTACCTAACTTGTCCCTATTCAATTTAGCCCGTCCTTAACCCTACCTAACCTAATAAGTCCCTAACCCATTCTCAGGGACGCCTATCCGTACCTACTTTAACTTAATCGTACAAATTATACATAGCCCTAACCTAACACTAATGCTAATAATTACTCTTCTTAACCTTCCCAACCCGCCCCTAATTTCTTACACTAAACCTAAGCCTAACATAACCTTACTTAACCTAACCATTTCTAACCTAACCTAATTCTTCTCAGGCACACTACCTGGTGACGCAAAATAGTCAAAAATGTATACATGTGTGCATATGTTTAACTAACCCAATTATATGTTTATGTGGCCCAAATTAAAAATTTACCCCTCATTCCTCTCCATGTTATTTAACTTTTTGTTTTCTTTTTTACAGGCCGAGTCAAAGTGAACAACGCTCATGTGATTTCGAGAAACATTCCAGCCACCAACGGAGTCATCCATGCCATAGATTCTCTCCTGTAAAATTGATCATACATCCAAATTGATTTTGTATATGCCATGTAAATATTAATGTTATTTCGTCTTAGTTTAAGTTAAATAAAATGCTTTAAAACTTTTATTTTTAAAGAGACAAAATTCCTTTTCCTATCTGGTTAAATTATCGACTAGTTTTTTTTTTAAATATAACAATGGATATTAACAACCAAGCAGAATACTCAATATTTATTTTGTAAAAAATGCATTATTCTTCTTAGAGAGCCTGTGCTTTCTGATTCGAAGTGATACTGTTAATAACCAGTTTGTGAATTTTCCAAGATCAGTTGTAAAAACATGATGTGAGTGACTATTAATTATTAAATGTTAATTTTTACAAATAAACAGGTTTTTAATTTAAACTTTTCCTTGCCTTCTTTCTTATTAATTAAGTTTACTTGTGACTTAGAACAATATTCTATACTTTATTTCTATAGCATTGCTGCGAAGAAGAAATGAACTAAAGGTCACAGTTTTTTAACCTAAAAATTGTAATATAATGTGAAAGTAGTATATACAGGGTGTTACAGGGTTCAATATCAATACTCCCACGGTTGATTCAGTAAATAAATAATAATAATAATTTCTATTAAAAATATGTCATGTACGATGTTCTTGGGCTATTGCTCTCCTTGGGTTCGATATCACGTTTTTCAACTTTGGAAAGGAGATTTCACTAAGAAAAATTTTAACAAAGGTAAAATTGAATCTGTCCTAGGAATACTTATGAAATAAAGCAAGTTTGGCGAAATCCCCGAAAATTTTGATGGAAAAGACATTTCACAAGCCACATTTGGTTACTTCCGACAAAATATGGGTTTTGCCATTTGCTATCCTCTGAGAGGCTATTGTGCATTCGGAAGCGCGAATTTTTCAACGGAAATGTTATTTTGTGGAATATTTAATGCAGTTTGCGAAATAAAGGTCAGATATATATTTTAATGCCGCCAAAGTTGAGAAATTACGATTTTATGTGAAAAAATCTGATTTTAGAATAAAATCACAAAAATTTTAATATCTCAGGAAGGTCGAGATAGAAACCTCATTCTGATGGCACAGAACTACGTATTATTTAATCAATCTATCATGGCAGTATTGACATGTAACCCCGTAACACCCTGTATAGTTGAAGGGATTTGATTACTATTGAATGGATTTGCATTAATGACTATTTATTGACGTAATCGCACGTCAATATAATTATTGATGATTTGTGTAGGTCGGGGCTTTAAGACTTGATATCCCGATATACGATAGGATATTAATGTAATTAATTGTGTTTATGCCTGCCTAATTACTTGTCATGATATACTTGTGAAAATACACCTACAACTCTTATTCAGTGTTTAAAAAAATACACCTTATTTTCTGTTGATTTTTTGAATGTATACTGGATGATAATTTCAATTATGATTAATTGTTTTCTGTGACAAAATTCCTTCTGATTTTTGCCGTTACAAACATTCAACGCCATTTTATTGTAGGATTCGATTAAAAAATTGGCCTTATTTCTAAAGATCATAGGAGTTTGAGATTTGTTTTTATAGGTAGATAGAATAGATAAAACACTTTATTTACACTACTAATACATATAATATATACGTTACATGTATTATATACATAACATATACATTACTATACATAACGCTAATTACTTTGGCTTTGCTTCCGTACGTAAAATCCGAAGAGTTAGCATTACTTACTTTAAGGCTTAGAAGTTGTTTTCAGTTTAATTTTCTTTTAATTTAAATCAGGGAGTGAAATCCGCCTGCTGCCGATAGAAAAGGTTCGGTAATCATAACCTAAGGTAATCATATTATTCAGGGCCTTGGTTATTTTGAGGGTTCAGGTGATGCATTGCCGGGTACAGTAAAGAAGAATGATGATGAGGACACACCCGTTCATCTCAGGTATTGGGGTTTTATTAAATTTTAGTTTATTTAACTATTTTCATTATTGGTTTAGCAACCACACCAGCACGCACCTTATTTAAAGGCATCTACATCGAGTGACTTCTTTTTTAAGTTTTATGAGCATATGCATTAGAAGTGCATAGATGTCGAGTAGCCATTTTAGTCAATTTATAAACTAAACTGCTCAAAAATGAATAGGGATATTTGTAATTTATTCTTATTCTACTAATTTTAATTAAATTAACCTATTTATTGTTGTTAGTTGGATATGTAGTGGAAACCTACGGTTACCACGGTACCTGTTAGGTGTCACTACCGCTTCTGGAATGGTCTCGCCCTCTACTCTGCAGCGAATCAGAGCAGAGCCAGTGTATGCGCATACATACAAGCACACTGACTTCATCAGACTCGTCAACCCGACGCTTATCCCTTAATGAAGCACCTACGATGATGGCAAGGGTATTCTCAGCGATAACATCCAACTCGCCTTCTAAACATAGTCGAGTTGGCTACAGGCAAACCACTGCACTCGGCCAACTGCTGCATCAGGGCCAGGATCTCAGCCAACTGCGCTCTCTCTACCAACAAGCACACACATTCGCTCCCGGCCTCGGTACATCGTCTCAACGCTACGCTTCCAAACAACACCGGACCTTGTCAGGGGCACCAAAAAACTCCTCACTAAATATAAAACAAAATAGAAAATACAAACCAAAAACAAACAAATGTTAATCCTCATTTTTAATAACGGATTTGCTTAAGAATAGTAAACATGACGAATAGTCATTTTGTAAAAAAATACCTTTTCTTGTGTTTTCTTCATTTTAATCCAGTTATATTCTCTGGATAGTAGTGGATCTCAGCGCATTACGACGCTAAAGGAGTACAAAAACATTATCACTGCTTCACGAACACATTCCATTGTGTATAATATGTTTTGGCAAGGCCTTTAAGCAAACTAAAACGATTCGTAATCTCACATCATATGCCACGTTGAGTTTGAGACGACCTGCAGCAACAGCCCATCACTCGCAATTTAGGAGACTATGGTGCATCGAGCGCTTAGAAGAAAACACCGATTGGAATGCTGGTATCTTTACTGATGAGTTTCTGTCTGTATGTGATAGCAAGCGTCGAAGAGTCTACCGAGAACAGGGGATGCGTGCAATGCCCCAGTTCATGCTCCATTCAGTGCAGTTTGCAGGAGGCCGTGTAATGATCTGGGCTGGGATTTACACTGGAGAACGAACTGGACTGCATATCGTTGAAGGAAACCTCACCGCAGTCCGTTATGTCTTAGAAATTATGGAGGAATACATCCCTCAAACCGGAGGGTTTACCCATAGGGTTTTTCGATTTCTGTATGCCAAACTTCAATGTTCAGAAAACGCGTTGCAACAACTATGGAGTGAAGTGAAATAGTGGCAACCTTACTAACAGTATACCTAACGCTCATAGGTTTTAGCTAACAGAGGACATTATACACGGTATTGTTGTTGTTTTGTTAATTGTTTAAAAAGATATTGTGTCCAATAAACAAAATTATGGAATTTAAACCTATTATTTTGTTATTTTTTAATATACCTTAATTAAATTTTCTTTGAGTAAAAACATAATTTCTAATAAATTTTAATAATAAAAATAAAATAAAAATGATATGGAAAGTAAATACTACGAAATTGGCAAACCCCTATTAATTTTTGAGCAGTTTAGAAAGTTACTAACTATTATTGTTGTTTTGTAAGTTACTACTGTTCATTATTGTTGTTGTTAGTTTAGTATTGTATACATTTAGTTTTTAACTAATTATAAATTTATTATGTAAGAATAAATATTGAAATAATGGACCAAGTATTTCCTGTATTTGAGAGGTTCAATGAGGTTGTTCACCACCTCTTCTTTAATCAGTCTACGCAAAGATGCTTTGTGGAACTTCCCCAGAATAGAGCTGAAATATACTCCCAAAATGTGCAAGGTGTCTTCCATGCATCTATCATTAAGTTTGCACAAGGCACAAGTAAAAAATTAGTAAAGACATGATGTCTCTTTATTAGTCTGTATATTGTGTCATCATAACTCAGATAACCTCTTGTATTATGAAATTCCTCTGCTTATAAAAGCCTTGGTCAAAAATCGTTTTACCCTGTTTGAAATTATTCAAAACTTTTCTTATGTAGTCCAGAAGTAAGTGTGTAAGTTGTACAGCAGTTTGATTGTGATCTCAACATACACCTGGTGTGCTTTGTTGGAGGTAGAAGAGTTTTTAAATCAAATATTTTTATTATTCCCTTGTATGTTTATTCCCCAAACCTGTGGACTGCAACACAATTTTTTTTAAATTATACATACTACTGAAAATAGTCATCTTTCATCCTTTTGAGATATTGAGAGATTATTCATTATTACTTTCTGCCACTAAATATCAATTGTGTACTTAGTGGCGCTGGCCCTTTCCTTTACCATGATGGACATCTTAGGAGACAGAGGAGGAACTAAATATTCACACAGCCTACTCTTTTTCTTTCAAAGCTCCCTTTTTCATTTTCTTCTGCACCTTTGCTGATAAATCATGATTTGTGATTTTCAAACGTTTAGATGTAAGTTTTTAAAAATTGTATATTAAAAATTATGGACTACGGACAGTGGTCTTGTCTCTGATTGTTAATATAAAATGATAATATTGAAGGTTGATATTAAATATATCAAGACAATTTTTATTTTAATATTTAAAGTATAAATAGCGAATATTATAGAATTCTGGGTTAAAAAGAATTGAATTTTAATCCTGTAAGGTTATAATTTTATAATAAATGCATTACAGTTCATGTATGTTTAGCACCAAGCCACCCATATAGTCTTACATATACATATAATAAGTAAGTTTTGATATGTGGGGGGAGGTTATTCCAATAAGTTAGACTAGTTCAAATATGTGCTCGAATTGAAATTGAACAGGCGAACAATTTGTTATTGATTTCATGCAAAACGAATCGACATTTTCAGTGCTATGGACCTCGGTTTTTATTTGTTTTATTGCGATGAATCGTCAAAATTCAAGACGAAATGTTTCACTTTTTAAGCATACTTTTAAAATTGGTCCCACCTAAAGCAACATAACACACCTCAATTCAATAAATAATACAAATAGTTGAATTCCAATCCAAGCACAGAAAAAAGATAAAGTTAACACAGTATTAAACATCCTCTAATTCTATAAACTATACATCCAGATAAATAATTCATTACTATTTTGTAACATTTTAATTTTATATATCTTATAATTTGTTTTTTCTTTTAAATTATAATCGCTACTTTACAAAGTATATACACTATATTGAAACAGTAGAAATGTAACGAAAAATCGGGGTTTCATTTTTTTTTTTTTTTCAGGCTTTGAGCAAGTCAAAAGAAAAGGTATTGAGATACACAGTTAAAAACAAAAATTGAGTAAAGCCACGTGGAAAACATTTTACTCAAAACAAAAATATAAATTTGTGTTTAAAACCATGTTTTAAATTATTTACTTACAATATTGCTTATGCACATAAATTACACTAAAACTTGTATATAAATGGATTACATTTAATTTGATAAGTTAAAATAGAGATTATTATTCTTCTAATTTTTGAGTACAAAAATTATGAATTTTCATGTTTTAATTATTATCCTATTGTCTGCTATGAATTGTAGCACATCTGTGATCACCAGTATCATAGACAGCTTTTATTTTAGGCGTACAAAAGAACCTGGCAGTGTGCTTTTTGATCCGAAATTTTAGTAAAAAATAGTTACGATGGTCAAGGTGTTTGTAATTTCATCTTGTAATTCATTTTTAAGCATTGAATTGTCTCACATATACATTTTTATTACAGCGAATATTAGATGAAATGGACTAAGTAAACAAAACACCCAAAAAATATTCTCAGTCAAAACAGACACACTTAGGAATAATTCCTTGATTATTCGACTATGAAAAACAACTGCACTCAAAACTTCTTTTTTTTTTAATAGAAACAGTACAAATGCATACAAATTATTTTTCTCAAATTTTTGAATCTAATGATTTGAATCCTAAATTCTACTGCCATTTGTTTATTAAATTCTACCCGATATATACACAAAACTCATCTCACACAAGACAAATTAAAAATCACTTCAAAAACGATCCAACAAATTAAATAAAATATTTACAAAATCATAACAACAAGGTTCTTTACCTCCAATTTACCAGGTCTCTCATACAGATATTACATATTGCACAATGCAGTCTCTTTTTATTTTATTTTGTTTCACTTAATTGATTCATTTTACATAAATATCACAAATCACAAACATCCCACTTTACACTTTCCCGAAACTTTTTTTTTTGGGGGGGGGGTTGTGTAAACAAAATTTAAATGAATTATTATATTGTAAACAGCCATCCCTAATTCCCTTGTACATGTCACACTTTATACAAAAGCTTATAGAAAATTAGTTTAAAACCCGAATTCAATTCTGTATGTTATAGGCTTTCAGATTATATCATGTAAACATCTTATTAATAACGACATTAATTTTGAGATGTTTTATTTTTCTTAAAAGAATTTAATTTTAATAAATATTCTATTCTAAGAATGTAAACAGGAACATACTTTATATTATAATTCATAGACTCATAATGTAAACATTGTATTTACGATGAGATGCTTATGCTTTTAAAATTCGTCTTTTGTTCAAAATTTTAAAATGAGATACCAAATCCAGTACAAAAATTTATCTTACCAATAAAATCAATGCTTATCGCACATCTTTCCAGGGTAATCAATAAATTTTAAAAAAGAAATCTTTTAACACAACCACAATATAAATTCTAAAAATATTATCATATAGTTTTATTTAAATGTTTTGAATATAAACACTTCCATTGTAATACTCCGTCTATGCAACAATACTCACTACTTTTATACAAAAATTTAATTAATCTCAACCAAGGTACCATGTTAATGCAACCCTCAACTCTTCTTATTAAAAAAATGTCTCAACATTAATTACAACAGACTGCCTTCAAATATTCAATTTTGTTTACATTTTAACCTCTCTCTTGTAATTAGGTTGTTGACTAGTAACAAATCTATCAATTAATTTTTTTATTGAAAATGTTCATAATAATTGTTTCAGTTTATCATTTCTAATATATGCGGGTGTATTTGAATTTTAAAAAATGAAATATTCCAAAGCAGACTGTAAATATATTATATAATTACAATTGTATCGTAAAAACTGGCATAGTACTAGACAATTCATATGGAAACAAATTTAATAATGCTTTCAATTTAAAAATAATTTATCACAGCTTTATTTTTCACTTTTAAAAGCAAAAAACGTTTAGAAAATAAAATAATAAATTTAATCTTTAATTATTAAAAATCAAAGAAAGGAGTGTATTTACATAGTATATGTGAAGAAAGAAATAATAAATAATTGGCCTTGTAAATTTCAAATTCAATATTTTTGTCTCAAATTTGAGGTAGCTTTTCAACGCTGTTTGTATAGCACATTAGCTGAATTTTTGAAATTTGAAGTCACTAGATCAGACACTAGTGCCGATAGCTGGGTTGTACGATGTTGGACTGAGCGGTGCGGGCGGTGGTGGCGATTTAGCCCTCGGCTCATACATGTCGCACATGGCAGTCAAAATTTGGTCAAACTTTGCGTAACGTTCCTGAGGTTCGACTGTGGACCCACGGCTTCCCCAGAGGAACTTGAGCTGGAATTCGGTTCTGAACATGTCGACGAGAAGTTCTACGACCCTCGAATCGCTGAGGAAGATTTCAGAATTGCGCCTGAAGGAAGGGAGCGACCTGACCATCTTCCTACCTTCTTCCATATGGAGGGCGAGTGTCTTAAGCCCTAGGTCAGGAGACGAAGATTCCCATTGCGCTATGCACACATGCTCCACGACAGTAGATGTTTTGCTATCTGCAATAGCACAAAGTATTATGTCAGTTATGTATAACAAAAATTACTCTCCATTGTTAACTTACGGATTGTATCTTCAATAGATCTTTCCATGAGAGAGATGAATGGAAGAAGATGGGGGATGGTCGTATTAGGAGCTTGAGGGTTTGTGCATTCGTTCATACTTTTCAACGTAGGCCGGAGTTTTGCCTCAAAATTAAAGGCTGCATCGGTGTACTTCTGTCTTAGAATATGCCAAGTCACGGCTAGATCTTGAATCTAAAATAAAACACAAAAATATTAACTGTGAGCAGTTTGGAAAAAAGGGTAAACATTCTCATTAGATGAGGGAGATTTTTAAGTAATAGATCTCAGTTATTGCTTGTACCACAATCGCAGTACAAGTACTTTGCAATAAAGATTACATTTTTTTTGACAAATACACATTTCTTGTTTCCACCCTCGATAATTGCATCACTAGGCAATTTAATTAATTACAGCAACAAGTCAACACGCGACTGACAGCACGAAACTAGCTCTGGTGGGCATGGCATTTATTAATAAGTTATATTTTATTTAATATAAAATTTAATTTAATCATGACAAGCGGTATAGAAACAAGCGTGCACTGTATACTGCGGTCATCAGAGAGATTGTTGTACTTACTTGCGGCATGCACAATCCCATCATGATTGCGTTGAAACCGAAGAGATTTCCCAAAGCAGTTTTTGTGTCAATGGCCACTTCGATCCACTTGTTCAGGGTTTCGGCACGCTCAGAGTCTGCGTTGCAGGTGAGTATCGTTACTGCGACGAGCAGTTTCAAACACATCGTTCTAAAAATGTCGTAAAAACAATTAAACTTTGATCATGACGGTCTGAGTTGAGTTATAAGGATTTGTACTTACCTTTCGATTAAATCTTTCCTCATCTGTCGACCGAATGGGAGGGAACACAATTCTAACCCGGATGAAAACCCTATTAGGTCCCCCCATATGTTGTTTTTGTTTATGATTAATTCGAGGTCCACTTTGGTCAGATGGTTGGCGATGATCCTTGAGCCGTTGTCTTGAAGAAGGACCCTGACGGCTTTCAGGGCGGTCGCATCCAGCGGTTTGTTCTCCATCACTGGGAGGAGAAGAGAATGGAAATTGTCCAAGACGAAACAAGACGGGATCTCGAAGTCGATCGTTGGCGGAATGGAATCTTCGAGGCCCGAATCGTAATCGCAGGCTTTGAGAGTCGTGGAAGAAAAACTGGACGTCAGGGAAGACTGATACCTCGGGTTTTTCACGATCACCCCTCCTGGGCGCATGGTGAGCACCGTGCACTGCACTGCAGAATCGGAGATGTCGCCTGCGGCCGAGCTCTGGACCGAGTCGCCCGAACCATTGCCCGAATCGCTGCCGGACGCGTGGTAAGAAATGACCCGAGGAAAGCCTTGGCAGGTCATCGTGTAATTTGGGCAGTCCGTGACGTCCAGTTCCGCCAAACTGGGCCTGTTGGTCGGCTTGGGGGGCGGAAGTTCCGGCAGAGGCCGCCGCTCCGAAGTGGGGCTCAGTGTCGGGTCGCTAGTCACCCTCGTCAGTTTCCTCGGCAGAGTGTTCTTCTTGATATTGCATGATCCGCGTGGGAGCGAGTGGGTCGAGAATTTGGATACGACCATCTCGCAGCCGACGGACCGGGTCATCTGGTCCTGGATCACACCGTCGGCGCTGTTACTCTCGACCTTCGCCATAGAGAGGACGTTCCTCCCGTTTTCCGGTGCCAGGGAAAGGCTTCTCGTGGTTTTCTTGTTCGGAACTCTCGGAGGGATGTCCCAACGGCCGCGCGTCGGAGAAGGAACCGGCGATGACCTGGAGTGCGGAGACGTCGCCTGTGACTGAAGGCCGTATTTGGCCGCATAAAAAGTTAGAGGGTACAACCGGTTGCAGGGATGCTGGATCCTAGCCCTGCTCGCGGTGGTTATCGGCTTGCCACTCCCAACGTAGTAAGTGATCAAATCCGACACCGTATCGAAAGGCTCGTCCTCAAACTGATACTGCACTCTCTCATAAACAGTATCCGGCTGAATTACGACCTGCAAATAAATAATAACTGAATAATAAAACGAACACATATATGATGGTAAAATAGTAGCGTAAGTAATGGCAAGGAAGACTAGGTGGACATAATAAATGACATTCGTTAGGACCTACCTTGTTGATTACGAAATGGAGTGGGACGGAACCACTGCGGCAGGTGAGTACGTAGTTTCCTGGCTGTGAGGTGCAGTCTCTGACGAGGAACTCTCCGTTGTGCCGGAGGATCTCCTCTGCCCTCAACCTCGGTATCGCACCGTGATACCAAGCGTGCGACCGCAAATCCCTCGTCTCCAGCGATAGCTCCCATTCGAGTGCCTTTTTCAAACCCGGGCCGTCCTCCAATGGGTCCACTACCGATTCCTGACAATAGAAAACACGAAGCTATTACAAACATCTAGGAATATCTCACGCGCTTTGACATATGAAAAAGCATAGTTTCAAACCATAAATTTTGGCAAAACTACACTTTTAATTTATGGAGAATTTATCTAAGCCTATTTTAGGAAACATGTTTTTTGCTTGATAAAGTCAATTCTACTTGAATGACGAACCAATAACGATTGCTGGACCGTATCGGAGGTTTTTTAAATCCCATGAACCGGATTGAATCAAATCCCATTTCCAGGCCGCTTCGTTTTTGTGGATGTCGAGTTCGCCTGTGCACCAACACGACCGAAGTATAGCGAACTCGTAATTTACTGAAGTTTTCAACTGCCCTATCTGGACGGCAGACACACCCCCTTTCGTACCAAGGGTGCAATCTCGGCCTTAATACAATTAACGTCTAGGATCGAGCTTTATTTATAGCGGTTTGAGCGCAGTTGTCGGAACAAAAAACCGTCCGGTTCCCACTTTAAATTACATGTGGGGCATTAAATGATTTGCTACCGTCTTTTAATAATATCACCCCTCATAAATAATTCATCCGGGCCACCTCTGTGCAGTTAAATCGGGGGAGACTAAACACATTCGACGTTTTTCTGTTTACTGCCAAATCGTGTTTGAAACTGTCTCGGGTTTACTAATTTAATCCTGATTTGAATAACACAGCCGCTAGAAAAAGATTAACACAAAATTAGAATCATCAACCAAAATCAGAGTAATAGATCGGTATGTCTATAACCTTAATTGGTTTGTTTATTTTTTAATTGTTGGCAATTCTTGTTATTTTAATTTTTTTACATATTAATGCTGACATTATTACGATTATTGGAGGTTTTAAATGGAAAGGTCTATTGGCTGTACTGTGTAGGACGTTATATTATCCCCCAAAATGGACGGGTCATATTTGATCTAGTACATATGTAGTTCTCAGTAATTTCAGAATACTTGTTTCATTATTGTAAATAAGTAGATGTTCGATTTGTACCCCTTAAATTATATTATTCTAAAGCTGGAAAAAAGAACTGAATTTTTTCTATCGGTTTAACCCATGATTTTTTGCTTTTGGGCAATACGTCACTGCCTTTTAGGCAGAACAATGCGGGGTATATCCTAAGCAAATACCTCAAGGGTAGTAAAGGCCAGAGTCGTTTAACATAACATCTAGTTTTGGTCAGACAATGGATACAACAACAATTTTACCCTTGAGGTACCAACCCATATACGGCAAAGGGGTACCGAGGAGGCCGAAAAAATTGGTCAAAGAGAATGTATGATGAGGGCAATTATCAGAACTGAACTCTTCTGCGGCATACCAAATTGCCAAAAAAATGTAGAAGAAAAACTGGGCTACATAGAAGTTCTCGGTTTAATGAGCCGGCCAGAATGCGAAAAAATGCATCAAAGAAACTTCGCACAAACTAACGGCAGAGCTAATAAACCTAGGACTACTGCCTGAATACTGCAGTCTCCAGAGGCATATAGGAGCAGCAGAAACAAGCTTATTCAGAAAAAGAAACAGTGTGAAGACACTGTTGTTTATTTAAGTTAAATTGGAAAGTGCGTTGGCTGGACTGTATAGCGGAAGGTATGCAGCCTGAGATTCCTACTCCTGAGGAAAAGCCAAAGCTTCAAGTATATACACGGTATTTTTTATTATAGGTTTGGGAACTGGTGAAAAGCCTTAAACTTAATGAAGAGCTATAAACAATAAAGGAAAATGCATATGCAATAGACCAATACCAGTTGCGGTGCACAGGTTAACCTCAACTTTAACCTGCAGCTGTCTACGTCCTGCTTCCCAAGAAGGAAGAAAAAGAAAAAGCGGAACATGTCCTTTGTTGGTGCGAAGGCAGGCTATGATTTCTACTCCTGGGAGGTGAAAACCAAGGCCTGAACAAGCTTTGGTTGTGATAGAAAACCTTAAACTAAACTAAGAGCTCTGAATAATCTTTCATTTAATTAATGTTTTTAGTTGAGATAAAAAAGTCAATGTCACGAGCGGGATTTGAACCCACGATTTTCGGTTAGATACGCCGCTGCTCTACCGCTTGAGCTGTTACCTCGATGCTGATACTCGGACACCAACCTCCCATCTCATCCCCACCTTTTGAATTTTCCCTCCTTTTTGCCATTTTTCAAATGTCGTGTATTCTATTTGTTTCTCTATTTGATTGGGTTCTGAATAATGATGAAGATTGCACAATATACCAATACTGGTCGCAGTGCGTAGGGACATAAAGAAGCCGACTTCTTCTAACCTTCGCCTTGGGTAGTGTAAGGATGGTGAAGTATATTGGCTGAACTGTATATGATAACCAAGTGGAGGTTATTTTTTAATACAAATGGACTGGTCAGGTTTGATTTAGTCCTCTGCTAATCCAATTCGTATTTTTATTATATTTGGAACCATAGTAATTTGTTACCATTTTTATTATCAATTAATGATTTTCTGTTAATGAAGGGGATATATTCCTCGAAAGCTCGATGAAAACTGTCTTTCCCCTTCATTGACCTTATCCATGATTTTCTCAATATTAATTTATAATTAGACCAAAGATAAATTCTTATTAATGTTTATTAATAATCTTCCAGAGTGTTTGTTGTTTATAAAAGTTCCACTGGCTCAATGTTAATCTCGTTCAATTAATTCGTTCAAAACAGAGCGCAGACTGTTTCTTTTTTCGTCGTATTATTGTATTAAACATATTTACATCAGCTAAAGAATTAAGAATTCGTGGGATTGTTATTACTGATGAGAAAAGGGTCCTCGAACAGTGAACCGTTCGGTGTTGGCCTTAAAATATTCAAAAGTAGAGATACGTCCTTGGGAAGAACGGCTCAGGGCGACAGTCAATGGATATTGATGATGTTCCACAGCAAGCTGGAGGATCAAATCCAGACACAAGTACTCACGTACTTCTCAGGGAGGGTGGAGTGTCGAAAGACACCATTAGTCGCCATCTAAAAGACACGGGGAAGACAAAAAGAGCGAATTCTCGATTAAACCTTTGCTACAAGTTGGTAAAAGAGAGTAGAAACTTGCAAAAAATCTTTATGTTATATTAAATATGAGATTTTATCAAAAGATAGTCGTGTGATGTCTGGTAAAATGACACCCGTGGAGTGTGCCTTGATCGAGGTTCATTTGCTTTTCCAGTTCCAGTAATGGGGAAGAATAAAACAACAAACTGCACACTTTTATAAATTGACACTTAGGAATGAGTTATTTCATCATAATTTCTTATGAATGACTGCTAATTGTGAAGAACTAAAACTGTAAAGGAAAAGTTAAACCTATTTTGGATCAAACTTCTGCCACAACCACTATTCATTCCATCCATCCAGAACTCGCTCCGTCAGGTTATTATTTGTTTCTACCATTGTTCAAGAGGAAAAACTTACGGTTCTTGCTTATGTTGAAATTTCGGTGCACGCATTTTTGGACTGACAGCCTAAGATGTGGTACCAGTGTGAATGAAACGGCATAAAGGTCTCTAATGATAATGGATAAGTTGTAATATCGTCTTTCTACGAGTGTCCCGCTTCTGTTATTTTACAATAATAATAATTATTATTTTAAATATTGATTTCTGCTAATTGTACATGAGTTTGTATGCTCGGGCATGGAATAAAAGTAAAGGGCGACCGAAGGAAAGATGAAAATGGCGACACGCTGATAATGGATTCAGCTGGGCGTGTTCTCATTGATCGGCCCTGCTGTCTTCCGGTTACATCCGGGTTCGAGCCGTGTTTTAACGGCTGGCCGGGAATTTTTCCACACCGGAAAAACCTCGGATGTACCGTAGTTTGAACAATTGTTGATTAAAAACCATTCGGACTTGGTTTCAATCACTTGTCAAAAGGAACTCATATAAACAAGACCGATTAATTTCCACTGTACGGGTTTTCAAGTAACTTTGTATTCGACAGAGATTAATCAAAAGATATTCAACAATTTTTAATAATGGATTCGTTTTAAAATAACATCTTTCGTCAAGCACAAATCTTGCTGATATTAAAAAAATTGTTTAAAGTAGAAAATAGTAATATAGTAAAATATAAGTACCGTTAAATTGTTTCTAGCATTTTTGTTATAAGCTTGTTTAGCCTTTTGAGAAATTGCTAAACAGTTTTAGCATTCTCTTTCTAACGTATTATACATATGTATATGTGTCTTAATTCCCTAGGTGGAGAATCGCCTAAGAGAAGATGAGGTTATTTTTCGTCCGCACCTGGCGCTTGGCCTTATTAGACGTTCGTTTATAACAAGTTTGGAGGCGATGCAATTATGCTTACAGGACTATCAAGAGGAGTTTATTCCTCGCTTTGTCAAAGGAGTGAAATGATTTCTGTCCGGACCTCCGAGCGTATTCCTGACGATGGAATTGGCTGTTCCATCACCCCCAAGTGTAAGGGCTCCTCTAGCTAAGAACTTCCGATAGGCGGGCATTGGCTTTCGTTTTAAGTGGAATGCTAACCACCCCTAGAGAACCAAGCCATTCGGCAAAAGGTTGCAAAACCAGCACCATTTGAATGACAGTCCCAAATACTAAGTACTCTTTAGGAGCCTCCCCAAAGTACCACTACCATTGCTTGCACCGGTAGTTCAATCAGTCATGCTCCATCTGATCTTTTCAGACCTCATCTTTTCAGCCAGAGCTGTTCACGGACTCAAATGATCGGTTCTTTCGCCGGTGTACGAAGATTTCTTGTGCTTCAGAGAGTTTGCTTCGCTTAACCTCTTCTTGTTATCAAGGGTTGGGACATGGTAATCAGGAGTATTCATAAGACGCAAAAAATTAACGTCCCACACCCCAGGTTATTCTTGTTTTTCCTTCAGACGTGATTGTCTACATTATTGTTTCAGGGAAGAGGCTATTGACCACGACTGACTTTTTTTCTTTCGGGTTGCACAGCCGAAGGTCCTCCAGCTCCAGGCTGCTCTTCGTAGGATGCGTTACCTCCTTTAATTCGGC